CAAGTACTCACCAGCACATACACAGTTTAGCTCCTAACCTGTGACAAAACCACTTCGATGCTGGTGCAGGACCAGTATTTGTTCTTGCAAATAATTCATCTCCTCTCCCTGTTTGGAACATTATAAACTATTCTGACACTTCTGCCTTGTGTTGCCAGCAAAGAAAAGGTTATATCACCTTGGATCCTTTAATAAGCAATCATTTCGTCACTTGCAAACCCAGTCCAAATACAATGCATGAATCTTTTATCAGGTTATGTGGTCTTAACTGGGGAAAACATATCTTCTACATGCAATAAATTACACATAAAGCCACTGTAAACCTCCTAAGGGAAAGATTGGGTTTTAGCAACCTCATGAACTTGCATTACACATCCCTACCACAGCCACCTTCTCCTCTCCTCCAAGAGAGAAGCCTAGTGAAGCGCCCACCTGCTCAGTGATAAATAGAAAGCTCTGTGGGAGCGGTGTCCTCTGTTCGCTAATGCACAATATTGGTGTGCTCAGTCAACTTCAGAGTTCCTTTGCTCCTTCTTCACTGCAGCACTGTGCTTCCCGTTGTCTAGCCAATTCCCTCTGTAACGCCAGGCAGCTACATTTGTATGTTAATAGACAGCTTCACTGTGAGGTCTGTTATAGGAAGCTAGTGAGGTTTTAAACACAGTAACAATTTAAACAAACAAAAATCTACTTTCAGTAAGTGCTTGACAAGGCAGCCTTCTATGATGCAAAAAGATAATGGGACAGGAAATGAAAGGGAAACATTTTGAATGCTTAATAGTGATCACAGAGGTCTGTCAAGCAAGCTAAGGGAAACTGGTGTACAGCACTGGGCCACTTGCTATCCACTCGCCTCAAAACTTAGTGGATCTAAAACTGAGAATCCAAGTGAGATTGATACTTGAAAATATAATTTCGAATATTCCTTTATTCCAATACCATGGTGGTAAGCAAAGTATTAAAGGATTACTGTATAAAAGTGGAGGAAGAGTCAAAATGCCTCTCCCTATCGTTCTCTGACATTTCAAAAATACAGAAGGAAGAAATGATCAAATGTGCAAGTTAAAAACAAAGCTATACAGACAATGCTAGCTGAGATTTTTGTGAAACACTGGGGAAATAACAAACCAATTTCTAACCTAGGATCTAAATTGACTCTTGCCAAAGTCCCTGGGAACCTTTTCAAGAGGCTCTGAGGATTAAACTTCTAGAATTGAGGATCTGCTAAAAAAACCTGGAGATAGCAGTAAACTCCCTCACCCTGGCAAGAGGGAAACACACGTGTGGTACAGCATTTCCCAGTCTGCAGAGGAGATCCTTGCAGCCAAACAGCTTGTTTACTGTGTGACTGGTCTCATAAATCCTGCATCTGATTATGGGGCATGTGGACAGGTCTTTACAGAAACTGGGGGAGAGGGACTGCAGAACACGCTGGCCTAAAGAACAGCACAATGAAGTAATGTACTGAAACTTTTTTACATTAAAGCATTGGGAATATAAAATCCAGAGCACTGTTGTAGCCTCCACTGAAACGCCTGCAGTCCAGTTACTGGAGGGAGAATGAATTAGTTGCAAGGTACTGCTATACAGAGGAAAGTTTAAATTTAGGATCAAGAGCTTTTTTTATTTTTTGTTGAAGACCCTCCACCTTTATGAGGAGGAAGCAAAATTACAGGCAATGATAGATGAGACGGTTGTAGCACATACTGGCTGAGAAACGACTGGTGGATATGAGGAACAGACTACAAAGCCTGTAGAACTATTAAAAAGGGGAGTAAAGCTATGTCCTAAGAAAATCAGGCAGCGCTGGTAGAGAGGATGTTATGATGCAAAGGTGCCTCGGAGAGATCCAAAGGGGAATTAAGACACTCCTGCATGAAACTCTGTGGGAATGGATAAAATCTGAGTGCCATGCACGCAGCTGCATACATGCTGTCTGCATGCTACACATCCCTTGGGAAACAGGTGGAGATTTTTTTCCTGCTGCTGGGGACAGAGGGGGAAGGAAAGCTAGAGCTTCTCAGCCTGCTGGCTTGTTGGACATAACACAATGTCAGACTAAATGTATCATTGGCCACGAGCTTGAGCTTACTTTTAAGACTTAATTGCTTCTCAAAAAAACCAAGTGTCAAAGGCTTACACAGCTTTAGTTTGCAAATTTAATTAAAGGATTAGCAAAGTTTTCTTTTCCTATGTGGAAGCTATTGAGAATAGGAACTTGCATGAAGTTCAGCTCATTTAATATAGCTACCTATTGCATTAATACAGTCTTTGCTTAAGTAAAGTGCTGCAAATAGAGCACAGTATTTCACTTTATACAGAAATACTTTCACAGTGAGCCACAAAGAAGTGACATTAACTCCAAGTGTGCATAAAACAACCAAGGAGAATATAAACACCACAGATACCAACCAGCTGGGAAGAGGGTGGTCTCACTGGACACCATGCTGCTTGCAATATGACAGTCTAATAGCTGGGGATATTCTTGGACTGCACAGAAAAGCCAGCTCAGTGTACCTTGGTATTGTGTACTTAGCATTATTAAAACTTAATGACTTTGAGATCAGTTCTGAAAAAAATCCAAATTACAGGTCTTATCACTCCCTGCTGATGCACTTTTTGGGTAGGCTGACTTCAACCAAGACAAAAATGCTGTTTCAAGGCCTTCTCCTCAAGTATCGCCCCCCTCCCTCTTTGGTTGCTCTCACTGAAGCACTTGTTTTTCCAGTGATTGTGAGATGTTTCAGGCACACAGGGGGGCTGACAAGCTGCCTAAGTTAGCACATTTAAGTAGAGATCTAAGGAACGATCTTTAGCCTTCTCACTGCAAAACAAATATTTGCCCTGTGTATCCCATCTGCAGTTTTGTCCCCCGTGGTGGATCAACTCGGTCTAACCAGAGAACAGACCTTTCCCCTCTCCCTTCCTCTCCAGCAGCGGGAATCTCAGCTGACTAAACAACCCAACCCTCCGAGGGTGCTAGCCTGGCCCCTCTGCCCGCTGGATCCCGCAGGCTTACGGTGTCCAGGGAGGGACAGCATTCCCCCCCAGCTCTCCCTCTCCTCCTATGAGTGATGTGGTCCAGCCAGAGAACCAGGGCCCTGGGGGAGGTTGAGGGAGATGGTCCTGCACAGCCAGGTAAAGGCAACCACCAGTCCACCACCCTGACAAACCTTCTAGCAAAAGCAGGTCCTGCATAAGTTCAGTGATACTTGCCTCTAGTGATTAGCATCATGGCACTGTGATTTTTTCCCCCCTCTGAATGAGAAGAACTATAAATACGTGCTCATACAATACATGAGATATTCTGAAATGCTCTAAGATGATAGTGAATTTCTAATGGTTTACGCAGAGAGGAATATGCGAAGAGAAATATTTCAACAAGTAGGCAGAAGGAAAAGCTTAGTAATTGACTGAAATTTTTGTCTTACATGAGACTGAGATAATTATATTTAGTAATCTTCCCGGTATTCAGGAGTCTAAGTTTTAAGTCACCCTAGATATTTGGATTATTATAAGTAAAAAGCAACATCGATCACTACTTCCTTATTGCAGGTAGTGTATTTAAAATTTGCTGTGTATTGTGTTTTACAACCCCTTCTTTCCCAGGAATCACCCTTCTTCTTATAGCATATTGTGAAGTCATAAAAACTGACTGAAAAAAAGGAAAAAAGGTTAAAAATTCATGAAAATCAGAAGTATTTTCCATGATTATTACTAGGTTCAGCTACCAGTATTTTAAATAAAAATCACCTTATTTTGTAATACCTGAAAAAATACTTTTACTTACAAGCAAATATTTGGAAGGAGGGCAATCAGAATGTCATTACAGATTCCTTGCAAGTTCAAAAAAATATAAATATTTGAAAACTATGCCTCTTAATGAAAATTATATTACATATATGTGTTTGAAAGACTGGCTAACTTCTGTATTTCAGGGCTAAACTTTGTTCTCTGCTGACCCTGTGCGGGGCTGAGGATGGGGCAAGAATTCGTACTCCTTCCTGATGAAAACGCCAGCCGTGCGTGTGACCCACAAAGTGGAGAGGGGCCATCAAACCTTCCTCCCTGCCCTCCCTCACAGCACAGTAAGCAAGTTAGGTGACAAACTGGATTCGTGTGCTGGCTAGTCAGTACCAACTGATGAAAGGCTACTGTTCGAAAGAAGCAGCAGTGCTTCCTGCCCTAGACTTAGTTCATCCTCCACAAGCTGTGGTTGCAACGACACAAATCCCATGACCAGGTACCACCTCCATCTCCCTATGACTGGGCAAGATGCTCTTGATCACACTTCTGAAGGAAAGATACCGCACATAGACTGAGTGCTGGACATCCAGGGCAACAGCGCAAGGGCTTACTGCAGAATTCAGCCTCAGGCAAAATTTCTTAATCTTACATGCTATACCTGCTGGCTAGCAAGACTGTAGCCAAAATATCAATCAAACCGGTGCCTGCTTGCTCTTTAACAAATCCTGACACCATGTAGGAGGAAACCATCCTGTTTCCTAATGCCATTATTCTTAGAACAGCTAATTATTCTTAAATTTCTTTATCTGGCTTTATCTTGTTCACCCTTTATTACCCCTGAATAATAGCATCTTAGGCACTGTCATCCTTTTCTCTTTAGCTCCCTTATGACTTAAACCACTTTAGTCTCAAATACATCATTTCAGTCAACAGCATGCAAGGACTCACATCTTACCAAAAAAGATGACTGTTTCAGAAATTGTTTTTTAAGATTTTTAAGAAATTAAGAAAACATCCTTTGCTTTCTACTTGTCTCTATGGCTAGGCAAGGAGAAAAATCTATAATGTAATTAAGGAAGTCATTGAGCTTGCAGCATCTGTAGCTGAGGAAGAAGAAACTGATCTACCATTTCAGGCAAGGGGAGGATTTCCACACCAAATGTGCTTAGCCATGTACAATGACAAACATAGCATCGCTAAGGTAAGCAGAGTTCTATAATTTTGGCAAGAGTATTTTTAGTACAGGACTCTACCAAGCTGCGCAAATCCATGGCTTCGCTATACAGAGCTACAGAACAAGAACAGTCAACAGCACTGGACTGACTCAGATCAAAGACCCAAATAAGTGGTCTCACAACTGAATCCCATGTTTACCTACCAGCTGGATTTTCAATCCTGAATTCATCCTTGTTCAGCTGTAAACCCCTTCTTGGGCTCTGGCCATATGCTTTCTTAAAATTCCTGATTCAGATCAGCGGACTGCAAATTTGTCCCCCAGAACTGAATTCAGATTTAACAAACACTTGATCTGGACTTGATTGCCAGAGATTTTGCACGGAGATGGAGGAAAGCTTTGAAACAGATGGGGAAATTATGCTGAGATGGTAAATTTCAGCTTGCTATGGCCTTTGTGTTTAGGAACAATTAAAAGGTGATGAGACCCATCCACTCCATTCGTATGCTCTAAAATCTGAAAGGGGGAAAAAGAGACAGGCAGCTCAGACTTACTTTTCAGATTGTTGTCCAAGACTTGTGGTACAGGTGCCAGGATTTTGGAGGAGATTGCAATAGCCATGTGGGGTGAGACGGGGGACAAGGCCCTCCAATAACCATTCTGACATGTGGTCTGGATTCTGGAACAGAGCCCCACTTCTCTCACTGAAATGCAATCTACCAAGCCTTTATTTCTCTGTGAAACATGCACTTATATCAGAACTACTGAGAAGTTAAAATAATTAAATTAAATTCTCACTAAATTTTACATATAGTAGAAATATTTGGATAATTTACTTTCCAATAGATTTCAATAAATAAACATTACTTTCATTGCAGCAAACTGACTTATTGCACTACCTGACTCAGCTGACATTCCAGTGATCTTTAAATTAATTTATATGCGTTGTAAACTTACTTGGTAGGTAAATTCATGTCATTTCTATAAATACTTCTGGAAAACTTCGCAATACAAAGAAAAATCCTCTTGAGAATTACTTCAGCGAAAGATATTGTATGCCAGTAAGAAAGGTAATTGCTACTGGTAATGTATTTTCCTTTGCATATTCTATAATAACGTTCTTATATAACCAAATACAAAAAGGCAGTGACAGTGTATCCAGCCCTCTCTCCTCCTCTTCCATCAAAATGGTATACCAGTTTTTGCTGCTAACCTGTGGCACTGTGAATTCTAAAGGCAACGCATTCAAGAAAAGATGCACAAAGGCATTAAAACTTCTATGTTAAGAGCACGGAAGAGAGAACAATGAAAAAGCTTAAGAAAGTGATAAGTACCACCTTTAAAAAAAATGGATAAAAGCCATAAAGTGCAAAAGTCTTTCAAGGAGACTGCACCTTTATGTATAGCACAAAGCTGTATTTTTCACATCAATATTAAATTTTAACGATGTCAACAACATGCTGGCACAGGAGCATGGAGCAGGAGCCAATACTCTATGCAGGTTTCCAAAAATACTAATATTTAGACATTCCTTTCTTGAAGGCAAACTCAAGACTAGCATGAATTCCCACTACAACCAAGGACCATCGAAGTATGGGTCACTCTTCTTTAACCTTACAGCCGTTAGTACACAGGATCAAACTTGCTGACTCAGCACACACACAAAATTTTATTACTCTGGTTTAAAAATAGGGTACATCTCCAAGATCATACCACTACCAAAACTGTACTTCAAATTTTCTTTAAGATCAAACTTAGCACGCTGGAATTCAAAAGAAAAGAAAAGAAGAGGGGGAAAAAAAAAAAACAAACAAAGGAAAACACGAGTAGCTTCTCATATTTCTGTCTCTTAGAAGGCCTCCTGCTATGACAGACACAGAAGTCCCAACTTACCACAGCAAAAGAAATGAAAAAAACCTCCTACAAAATTAATGCCTTTCCCTGTTTTCCAGCAAGTTTTTGTTTCTTTATATCCCTCTTGCACTCTGTGCTACCAAAGGCCAAGGAATGTCTGTCTGGTTGCCTGTCTAGACTATGCCTAATCTCATGCTCCGCAAACGTACCCAAGTGAGCTCTGAACTCATCACATCCCAGAGTGATTGCCCTCACGTGCGCTCACTCTGCTAACGAGCGTGGCTGCTCTACATCAGCAGAACAAGGTCTAGATAAATCTGCACTGTACTGTGTGGTTCATTACAAATGTATCCTAAAATCAGCAGTAAACACATCTAATAATAGTATGCATCTCCTTATAGTGCATTCTCAAACGGCTGTAACTTTTTACATGTCTGCTAGGAATTATAATAATCAGCAGTGAATAAAACAGTAGCTTTAATAATTAGCTTGCGTATCTAAAAGAAACCTTATCGAGATAGGAAGATAACCTCCATTGTTGAACTGAGCAGGGCTAAAATCAAGTTATTTCTAACATGACCACAGAAATTAAGAGAAAAGCCTGCTGTAATTGCTTTGTACTTGATAGTATGCACAGGCCAGTAATACCATGTCCATTTCCCCATTCTTAATTGTGTGTCTTCATTTTTTTTTTCAGACTCCATTCAGGTGTTTACATATGGGATTTTAGTAATTGCTCATTTATTCTCGCTGAAGACTATGGTCAGAAGTCCTTAGATCCAATGCACAGCACCTGCGTGCATTAATAATGGAGTATTACATTCATTGTGCTTCACAATGTGTGGCATAAAACACATGTGTAATCACACCTTGAAAGACTAGTTTTCTTCTTCAGCTCTTCCAGTTTAGATAAATATACTGCACGCTCTGGAAGGAAATGCTCGTGTTGGTTGCTGCTATTTGAGTAGCAGACAAACTATTTGTTTAAATGATGCTTTGTCATCTGAAGAACCTGGAAAAAAGTCTTAGGTGAAGATTAGCAATTCTTTATCACAGGTAAAAATCTATACTTTTTTCTGTGTGAAAGTTCTCTATATTGGAAAGGCTAATTCAATCACCTGCAATGCCATTATTTCATATTCATCTGATATGCATTATTTTGCAAAAAAAAACCTGAAATCCTGCAAAAAAACCCATTTACTGAAAAAATTAGAAAGGTTCAGCTGTCTCAAAGGTTACAAAACCTCATTTTATTCTTTTCCTTATAGCAAAATCATGATGATATTTTATTTCACTTCTTTCCACTTAATAAAATATTTTTTTTAAATACAACAAAGTATTTGCCAAAGTTTAAGTATGTGAACATCATTGTCCATTTTCATAGCAAGATATTTCACCTGGATATGTTTATAAAGGAAAACCAATTTGGATATCACATTCCCATTTGAAATTTAGACTTGATAACTGCAAATAAAAAAATTAAAAAACATTTCTGTTTTTCCCAGCTTTACTCTGCATTTGACAGAGCACTGGGGATGCCAGTTGCACAGTCTGAATTGCCTCTTTCACCTGATCTTACAATATTCCAACATTATTTAGAGTAAGTCTTTCTTCAGACCGTGCCAGAGAGGGCCAAGACCAGGAGAAAAGCTGAAGAGGAAGCAGGTGTGCATGACAATGAAGAAGAGGGAAAACAAAACACAGTCAATGCATGTTTTATGTTGCTGCTTTGAAAACTACTAGTTGCACCATCATGAATCTCATCAATAGAAACGAAACTCTCCTATCGAGCCACATAACACACACTTTCTTAAATTCATTATGCACATAAATTTTAGGGGGTGCTCTACAAAACCGGTGAATTTTCAATGCATTAATTGTAGAACCAAAAAAAAGTCTCTTTAAGGTATTCATTCTTACAATTACAAAGCAGTATAGCATAGTCCGGACTCAGCTACATTTTCCCAACGCAGAGGAGTATTTCTTTAGAAATTGAAGTACGATAAAGTTAAAAGACATTATTTTATTTATAAAAGATTTACCTAATAATTTACCAACATAATTTTTCATGTTTTCTAAACATATTAGAAACTAAATCCAATGCCCGTAGACATTTTGCAATTAAGGAAAAGGATGGAAACCACTTCAGGGAAGGAATGTGGAGTGAGAAAATGACATACAATCAGGAAGTAGATACGGGGCATCATATCACAATGCAGCATCTCTTATTTCTCAAAAGGCAGAAACGTCAACTTAATGCAGCTAGAACTACACCCTGATAGAATCTATTAGTCTCCAGACCTATATTTTGCATCTCCAATATCTTCCATCTTTAAGCATGATTTGAGGATTAAAAACTGTCTTTTCTTTCATCTTCAGGTTCACACATACTTTTCCATTTCTGTAGTTCCTGAGAATCATCTATCTTCCATACTTCAGCAAAGGACTTTAGCTTTTTTCTGGGCATTGGGGAGGGGGGAAAAAAAAAAAAATCAATCAAAATATGGACACATTTTTAAATTAAGCACATCAAACCTTTTAAACACAGTCAAAAATAGCAGTTTGCATAGCTCAAAACATTATGCGATCTTTAAACAATCAGTTAACATTTTCCAATGTATGTATTTCAGCTCTAGGACAGTCAACAATTTAATTTTATAACTAACTTATAGTACCAGAAGCATTGACAAGATGAAATAAAACACTGAGCAAGAGTAAACCATTAAAGGAAATAAATAGTATTGTAGTTTGCACAGTTTAATTTTCAGTATTCAGCTCCTACAATTTTGCACTGGTAGAGTCATAAAGAGATAATGCATTTTCAAAATAAATGAGTACACACATCCTTCCTAGTTCCTTTTTAGTATTTTTTGATTTAAGAAGGACTCATAAGAGCTGTGACAAATAACAACAAGACATTTAAAACAGGTTAACACACATTCCTGACGACAAAGATGTCAAGACTGGATGGAATTACCCAGTGGATTTTCTTAAAATAATATGAAGGTGATTTAAAAAAATAAGACAAGGCAGCTGGCCTGTGGGTATTGTCACAGCACAAGTATACTGCTATGAACAGGTCTGAGTTTGATTCCGAAGATGATGAAAACTTTTATTTTCTACCACAGATAAACCATACCCATTTTTAAATTCGTCAATGTCTCTTTTGGGGAGAAGGTATAGAAGAATACTTTGACATTTAGATCACATCATGGCAATAAGTGAAAATAAACAGGTATATACAAAAGAAAATATTTCTATAATGGCCTACATAGGAGAACTGGAAAAATTAAGAATTACATAATACAATAATTTATGCACTGTGAAATCATCAGACACATTTGATTTTTTTTTTTATTTTTCACTGACTTGAGCTCCAGGTTTATATCAATGCATGAAGTTCCCTCCAAAGTGCATGGAAGAGGTCTACAATGAAGGAATAACCTGGTACAGGTCAAACCCGATGAATTAGCATCCGCTGTGTGGTGGATGTCCCTTGTCCCTGACCGCCTGCACAGCACCGTCTCTCATTAATGGGGGAGGCAAAAGTGTCAAACTTCAGACGCAGTAGGCTGGTCTGGCAGGCAGGGCTGAAGCCTCAAGGTTACCTTTACCCTACCAACTGCTGCCAGAATCAAGGGCCTCCTCCTCTTCTCACTCCCACCCTTTCCTTGTTCAGGTAGTAATGCCTGTTCACATGTAACATCAGGAAGTTGAACTTGCATGGTATCAACTGGAGAAAGAATGACTTTTCAGATGGATCAGAT